TGATAATCTAAAGTTCTTTAATATTGTGAATATGACATGCAAAATATACATCAGCTAGCTATTACGTGACATTGAAATATATTTATTTCGTAAAAAAGATGTCGAATACGAGTAGAGCAATACCTCGCATAGTGCGATCAGTCAGGATTCACTATAGTCCGGTTTGAAAATTTTAAAACAAACTTTAATTGTGCAAAAGAAAAATAAATTCTAAAAAGTCAAGTTTATTTTTGTGCTGTTATATTTAAGCGGTCCTCGATTATCCGGTTTCAAACAATGCTGAACAAGATATGATATTATCTCCTTGTATTATTACTCTCTTTATAAGTTACTCGACATATATCCAAACTATTACAACATAAATAAATGTAAATAAGAAATACATGAGATGTAAAGTAACAACTAAATAAAAAAATCATGATTGATTGAGTTCAACATGAATATTGAATTACAATTTTATAATACTCATTCGATCTGTCAATAATCAATCTGAATCAATCATCTCGGTATAATCATATTCAAGTTTGTGATCTCGCTGCATTTAAATATACGACATTCGATTAGTTCAAATGGATTAACGCATTTAATTACATCAAATGTGACGCAACTAACCTAATTTATAGGTTTGAGATGCGAAGAAGTCATTAAAAGATCTATGCAAAAATTCCTGCGATGAAAATACATTATATAAAAAAAAAGTAAAAAGTTAATCTCCTCGGCATTAAATCCACATAAGTTTCCCATAATTGCTTTCATCAATTTACTCGAATCGATTTATTTCCCTTAATTTGACGGCCAAGTATGTGACATTTAAACGATTTGCAACTCGCACTTGCATAGATTATCCTGTTGACTTCAACTTCACTCTGTGTACACGAGGTATGGATAGATCCTGTACTTATTCTGTTTGGGATTTGAGTTAATGTTATTAGATTAGATTTGGGCTTTTAGGATTAAGTGAATACGAAGGGATGGCACTGCCCTCCTTTCACAACAAAACTATATAACTAAATAAAATTATCTTATTAGAAAAAATACTATTTAATATAATTACCACTATTCATATTTTGTATCATTTATCAAATATATTAAAAATAATTGGTTATTCATAAGAGATTATAAAATGTCCTTCAATACCAATTTATATATAACCGTCACAAAAAAAATAAAACCAATGTATTTTTGATACGTCAGCTTAAAAACTATGAAAGTTTTATTTTTATTTTCAATTTTACTTAAGAGTCACATGTAAGTACATCCAGATCCGCAGTTTGCGGACCCTTGGACTATAATAATCTTGAAATTGGTAATGTATTGCCATACAGTTAATAAATTAGCTAGATTTATATTCTAATTTATCAAGGGATGAAAGAAACTGACTTTAACGAAAAACACATATTTTAATTCCATTTTCATTTAAGAAAAATATGTAGGTCGCTCTTAATTCTGTTTTTTTTTGGTTAATTACTGACAATTATAAGATAAAGCTTAAGTTAAAGATATTATTTATAAATATCCGTGTTTATAAGACTATGTAATATAGATTATATTCAAGTAATGGATGTAAGTGTAGTATAAGCTTATCCATATTTTTTTGACAAAGTTCATTTTAGTGTTAGAAAGATCGGTCAATGCAGATAAAGCAAGCCGCACAAGCTGTGAAATTTTAATATATTTTTTCCTACACAATTGGTATCTTTTAGTTATTCATATATTTTTGATGCAATTAAATCGTGCAGAAAATCCCCGAGCCACATTTTCCTTGGTGTTCCTCCTTTTCGCTTTGAGGATGCACCTTTGCCGCAGTCTTATGATAATAAGAGTATTTTCTACACTGGTGACCAATTCCTGGAGAGATGCTTGGCGGCAACGGATGGAAAACACTTAAGCCCTCTTACCTTTTGGCGGCGGCGGCTCCGGTCTGTCTACGAAAACTCACCACCAAAATCGGGGTTCCACAATCCATTGAAAAATTTCACCTACAAAAAAAATAAAAGAGAGTAAATAGAAGAGAGGAATTATACGGTACCATGGAGGGATCATCCTCCTATTTATGTGTACGAACGTGTATAAAATTTCAACAAAGTGCCATTCACCTACAGTTTTTTAATTGAAATCTAATAAAGACCATGGAAAGAAGGAAACTTGATTTCAACGAAAAATTAAAAGGGGGTTCGGCAGTTTTTGATGTTTCAATGCTACGAAAAGGTTATTCTTATAAATACCAATTATTAGAACATATTCGAGAACCTGATGTTTGGATGAGTAGCGTGTAATGACCATTACATGTAGATCACTAGCAGGGATTAAAACTTAGCAACAAAGCTGTATTCGGATTAAATCCCTCTGTGCCGCGGGCTGCTAATTGATTAGATTAATCGTCTCAATTTATTTATTTATTTCTTTCTACTCGTTCAGTTTGTTTTCTGTCTGTTGGGCGAAAGAATCGAGCTTTTAAGGGCAATTTGTTCCCCTCTGAAGGACCGTGTCCTCGTCTCATTCTCTCTCTTGATCTATTAAATTAATTAGGGTGCTCGTTTATTTGATGTTGTGTGCGAATGTAAAGAGGCGATGATAGTTGGCAATTGGGGGGCGGCGGTAGCGGTAGCAGCGGAGGCGGCTGATGGGGGACGGTTTCTCTTTGCAGAGCTAATGGGCCATCATTAAACTTATCGAATCTGCGGATCGAGGGAGCAGCACCCGTTTGCCGTTGTTAACTTTATTTTCGGGTACCATGGACCACCCTCCCTTTTCTCTCACTCTCATACCATCTGCAAAGCTGATATCGTTTAAATCATTATTTCTTTCTCTCTTAAACTAATTGGTACAATCCTTTTAAAGGCCTCACCCCTCCGCTCCAATACTAAACAAACAAACAAACAAACGACAACGATCGGAATTTATAATTCAAAATTACCATTGCATAACGCATGTGTTCATATTTATACTAAACCGAAGAATACATACTTGCGTTTCAGTCTACGAGAAATAAATGTCTTTACATAGTACTTTAAAATACAATAATACCTCGCATAGTGCGCCTACGATTATTCTAGATTCACTATAGTCAGCTTTGAAAATTTCAAAACAAACTATAAGCTAAATACAAATATTTGAAATAAAAATGCTACATAAAATTATATTTTTTAAACATAATTGATTTATATTCTCAAACCTTATTTTGTGCGATTTATTTTCAAGCGATTTTAAAATCCTCGATTAGTCCTCTTTCAAACAATGCGGTACCATGAAAATTAAGTAAATTATATTACAACTATTATTTGATTGCAATGCTTTACAAACTAGTTTTACTGATTTAATATATGAGTATGAAATGGTAAAATTCTTATAAATATAATAAATCTAAATAATATATTTGTGCACTGGATATTCTTCAATATGGATGAATTTAGTTTACAAATTTTACATACAATGAAAAGTACATACAAATATGACATAATTATTAATATAAATTATTCAAAGTTTGCAGAATGTTTGCGGTATAAATTTATATTTAATGATGTGTAAGATAATACCTAATAGCCAAATCTTTCTGCCTCTATGACATATTTTTTAACGTACAGTCCATTACATTCAATTAAGTGTAATGATAGATTTTCAACGTATAGAAAAATATAAAAGTTTATTTACAAGCAAAATAATATTGATGTAAGTATTTAAAATATTATGAAAGAATTCAAAAAAATAAGTGCGTTCAGCAGTCTTAAATTACAAAAAGAAGATTATTACCAATTAGTGATGTAAAACTGTACCATGAATTTAAATAACTTGGAAATAATTACTTACTCTCAAGTTTTAAGAAAAAAAATCTAAAAAGTGATTTTTATTTAGGTCCAAATTGTAAAAAGTGATATCAAAATATATTACTTTTTTATAACATCTATCTAAAATAAGATAAACTATGTTAATACTTTGTGCAAACATTAGAAATATATTAATTGAATTCTCTAATAAGATTTCTAAAATCCATGATAACCCAATAATTAATTAATTTTCAAAATGTAATTCAGCATTTTCTATTTGGAAAGAAGAATAAAAGTTTAATGAAGTAATTGTAACATTTTATCTAAAAATTTACTGAAAATCTAAGACAGGTAACGTCAAGAAAGATAACGTTTTAAGTATGTAAATTAAACATTTTAAATATGTTGAATATTGTATTGTATATGATAAGCGATATTTTATAACTAAAATTATTTGTTATATGCAAGTTGAAGATTAAACTTTTATTTATTTATTGTACATTTTATTTTCTGAATGTTGCAATTATTAGCTTATCAATTCAAAATTAATTGCGCCCTTATAAATAGATTAGTTTAAAGCTGACAATAAATTATGTATTTGGGGATATGTATTTTGGGGATATTGATTTAAACAACAAAAGTGATGTATACAACAGTAATCCGAACAAATGAAAGATACAAGCAAAAAAAGTTCGACAAAAAAAATTGATAAAAATGCAGTGATTTGAAAATTTTCAAGCAACAGCAACTTGTGAATTTTATCTATTATTTCAAATAAAACATATTAGCGTAAATTATTATTTCCATGTGCCTAAATAAAAAATATCTTTTGTTACTTAATAACCAATTTAATTTTAAAACATTATTTAAAGTCAAGCTTTATACAACTAACTAATGTTAATCTTTTAAGTGTATACTAAACAATTTAATAGTATTTCTATCAACAATTACCAACAAAAATCAAAATTTGAAATAAAAATAATATAAATCATATAACTATATAAGACTAGCTTATGTAATCAAAAGTGATTGTGCCCTTGTATAAAATAGATTAGTTTAAAGCTGACAATAAATTATGTAATAATAATTGTAACGATTAATATTATATTAACATATACAAAGGGATATTGATTCGATATATTTTCTTTGTTACTTGTTCCATAATTAATTAATGGTTTGCTTATGTTTATAAAAAGCATTCATTTTTAACGTATGGTTTTTGTTTTTTATGTGCAGATGCAACCCGGAGAGCGAGTTATCCTTCCCGGGATTCGCAGGAACATGCGGCAGCGGATCCTCAGGTATGGCCTATTTAAAGTCGGCCCCCTATCCCGTGCCCGGATTAGGACTGCACGGACTCCCTGTCGACTCTCTGCACAGCAGTATGGGATATCCAGGAGGTAAGCCAAACACACATCATCCGGCATCCCCCGGTAAAAAATCAATTGAAACGAAAGTTGATTTTTGTGTGCGAGTGATCCCTTTCGATCTTGATAAAAAAAAATATGTATGCTTTTTTTTCTTTCATCATTTTTTTCACATCAACGTTGACAAAAGGAAACAAGAACGTGAATGCGCAGAGTATTTGAATACTACGTAGAAATTCTAATAAAAATATAACATAAATGAAGCAAAATGTATTTTAGAGTGATAAAAATGAGTTTTAATAAGATATGTGATTAAAATAAAATAAATGTAATCAATTAAATAATTCATAATTGCACATATAGAAATATTAACGAGATGCTTTAAATGAACGTTCCTTTTTCATTATTAAAATATATTAATTTCAATAATTTTATATAATCGTTTTGGTTTTATTATACAAAAACTTCTATGAAATTGCGGTTAACTTTATGATTCAATCGATATGCATTATATTTCATATTATTATGTACAAATTTAATGTTATTGCATATTGTGTTCCAAACTGTCATAGTAAAAGATTTCAAAATGCGAATACCTCGATCAGTCCGAATTTAACATAGGCAATTCTAATTCAAACAAAAAATAAAAATGAATACAAAAAAAAAATAATTACATAAATTATGCTTCTTTTTTATTATATCAGTCTCTCTTCTTGTGGTTTAATTCAATTTTATTTAGTTCCTCCATTAGTTACATTTCAAACAGTCCGGGATATTGGCGCTGTACACTAACTCCATTATAACTAGTGATTACCAACTAAACATTAAAAAAAAACTAAATTAAGTTGTATGTGACATTAGTAAGATTGACAGAGATTTAAAAAAAATGAGTAAAATAGATAATTTATCAGCTATTTGTTAAGTGAAAGGAATGAAAAGATACATAATTGATGTATATGCTTATCTTATGAAGATGACTAAACAACAAAAGTGATGTGTACAACAGTTCCCAATAATCCGAATAAAAAGAAGATACAAGAAAAAAAGGTTACCCACAAAAACGTCGATAAAAAAATGCAGTGATTTGAAGATTCTCAAGCAACTTGTAATTTATATATCTATTATTTAGAATAAAATATATCAGCGCAAATTAATGTGTATAAATGAAAATTTATCTTTTGTTGTTGTTTTCTTCTAAGTTCATACAATTACCAACAAAAATTAAATAAAAACAATAAAAATCATTATAACTATATAAGACTATAATTCTTCTTCTATTATTTCAAGTAAAAAATATTAGTACAATTTATTACAGTAAAACGCCGATCATCTGTGTATCAATTTACCGTGGTTCGGTAAACTAAACAATAAAATAAAAACAATACAAAATTGCAAATTACCTTATAAAATAATTAAAAATGTGTTTTTCTATATGAATATATAGATATTAAATAATTAACCCATTTTTATTATCCGTGCTTTTTACTGTTTTAGTTTAGTTTAGTAAACACTTATATTGCTTGTTAAATAATCTAATGATAATATTTGTTTCAACAATTATCGATAAAAAATAAATAATTAAATTAAAAACTATATGTTTCAATAATAATAATAATAATATTTATTGCAACAAATTACCATTATGCGACTGAACAAATAACACAATAAGAAAATTACAAAATTACGAAAAATCAATCTGATTTGCTGCAAATGGTTACTGACCCGATATGAATCATTATAACTATATAAAACTGTAAGTTTATATTCAGTTAGTAGTAAATAATAATGCTAAATATTTATTTTCGACTGGTTAATTGCACAAAAACAAACGTAATGACGATTTAATGACGATTACAAAATTTTGTTACAAAATAGATTTAACCCTAGATTCTTTTAAAACCAAGAGGAAAATCAAGTCATTAAGGTATTTTGATGAAGTTATAATGTTTTTATTTAATTTCACCATTTGCTACTAAAAAATAATATTTTACTAAAAATAAAATTTACTATAATTACGTTAAATATCTAAAATCAAAAACAGAAATATACAATGAATATTTGTGTAATCAATAATTTAAATATTTTAAAAATTATGATATGTTACAGAAATGTAGAAAATTTGCCAAAATAACGTAGAAAATCTACTGATATTTGTTTGCAATATTATTTTCATATTCCTTTTGTATTCTATCCATGCTCATATATATAACTTTATATATAATTAATAATTTTTTATTAATGTTTTACTTTTAATTCCATAAACTATATTATTATTAATTCTACTAGAATAAAGTACAAAAAATAAACAAGAAAACAATACTCACTACTTGTTGTTCAAACTTGTGAATATTGTTGCGTTGCCATACTACGAATGACGCACGAGCGGTACGTAATTGTATTTAACTATGATGAAATATCTACTAAATGTGGCATAGCCAATGTTAATGATTTACAAGAATTAAAATATAAATTCTCAGTTTATTTGTTTATCTTATACTATATATCTTTTCGCAATATTATTTTTTCACGGAATAACTTAACTGTATTTAACCAGTTTCTCAAACACGCCGAAAAATGTATATGTAGAAAAACGTAGAAATATTCCTTCCCGTCTGTTATCAATTTGTCTGCGATCTCCTAACTATTTTTCGCCCACTTTGAGAAGCCCTGAGATTTTTATGATATTACCTGTTTTTGTTAGGGAAATAAATTTTATTACATAGCCATCTTAGTCACGTCAGGTTGGGAGTTACAATTTATCATTAAAAAAGACGCAGGTTACCGACCCCTCCTCTGTATAAACGCTTTCGGAACTGTGAGTCGCGAAAAGAACTTGAATTTATATCTTTATGATTTAAATATCAAAATTCATAAGATATGACATAAATAAAAACAAAAAATTGCATAAAGTGACTTAACGTACTTTGGTTTCTTTCTAAAAAGTGGTTCGCGATATATAAAAGTTTCAAAACCGCTGCTCTAAAAAAATATATATGTAAAAATATTTGGTGAGAATTGTTGCATTCACCTTCAGTTACTTTAATTACCTAGTGATTCAATTACCTTAAAATCTCGAGTAAAATATGCAAAATATTTTTTTCATTTAGTTACATTTAATTTTTTGGTCAATTTGGGCTATAGTTAAAATAGTTAAAAAATATTGTGTGACAGTAGGGTCATTTTTTTTGTAATTAAAACTTTAAATATTTTGCCATTCAGATTATTTACATATTTAAAATTTGAATCGAAGTAAAACATGAATATTTACATTTTTGTGCTTCAATTACTTTAAAAACTTGAGTAAGAGTTATTTTCAACACTATGTTTTTTCAAGTTTTCATTTTTTTTTATTATAATTCAAAGTTTTGTTAACACATATTTTGTACAGTTTAAAATCTAATATTGAATTATAATTGGTCAATATTAAGTACGATTTTTATTAAATCTTTATCAGTATCATATTAGCTCAGTGTTTCCCAAAGTATTTGGTTTTTCGTGAATGAAATAATAATGAATGTTTTTTCATTTTTTAAAATTTTATTGATTATATGTTCTTAAACATGTGTTATAAAACACACAAGATTTCCGGACTGTTTCATTACAAGAAAAGTTTGGGAAATTTTGTTTTAGGGTATTATATTTAAGATTTTCTTTTGTATTTATTTTTAAATAAATCAGCTTTCTTGACGTCCTAAATTCTCGAACAGGGAATGCCGTGTTGTCGTGTGTATTTTAAATTATATTATTTAATTGGACATTTGATGTTTCTAGAGTGACAATAAAAAAAAAGAACTATTTAATTAATGTATTTATTTGTTTTATATCATCAATTACTTAACGTTAATGAGCGAACATAATTGCGCGTAATAAACATCATTAAATGCATAATTTGACAGCGCGAATATGTGCATTTTTTAGGTTTGTATTTGTATAATTATTTGCTGTTGAGCTGTTGATCCCTCGCCGGAGCGTTGATAAAATAATGAATTGGATTTTCTATATGAAATATTCATACGTATTTAATATAAATTGCCACAATATCAATGACCATAATAACAACAGCGCGTATATAAAATAGATGCGCAACAAAACCCCTCGGATGCAGGGGTTTTGTTGCAGCGCACGGGGATGGGGTTGTATACCGATTTCAAAATCCATTATTCTGTTCGTTTTTGTGGCGTGGCGAATTAACAATATCGCAACACGAACGGGAACCTGTATAAATAAATAATTATAAAATCACGGTATAAAATTTATTATTGTATCCCCGAGCTGCGTCCATGGGGGGATGAGAGCCAGCCGTGACCCCGCGCTCATAAATCCCCGAAATTCTATTTATATGGTTTATATATTTGTAATTGGAATATATTTATATATCAATAATCCGCCGCTTTTCGGCCAATTATATTTTAATTTATATTTCCATTCAATTAATAATAATTCCCAGGCAGACATAAATTGTCGGCCATATAATTTTATTCGAAAATACAATACGATATTGCTATTATTTATTTGATATATATTTTTTTGTGCAATCATCGGTACATTATTTCTATATTCAAAAGGGATTTGCACATGCTAAATCCATACTTTTATTGCAGTTATTATTATAACCTATGATGTGAGAATATAAACAGATAAGATAATATAATTATGATAATAAAATATTACGTGCATATTTTTTTATTGGAAAAGCTCTCCTCATTAAATAAAATGCAGATATATCATTATGATGATCATTACTCTATGATCGAATCAAAATTATTCAATAAACGTATTCTAAATTGACTGAATCTAATAAAGTTTTACATTAATTCTGCAATACCATCAGTATTTTGGGAAAAAAAGTAACGCCTTTCAACAAAACTATGGAAGTTAATAGCAGATGTTGCAATCATTTAACAAATTATTTTAAAGAATGTGTCCATATGAAGTACGATTTTTTTTAAATCTTTATCAGTATCATATTAGCTCAGTGTTTCCCAAAGTATTTGTTTTTTCGTGAATGAAATAATAATGAATGTTTTTTCATTTTTTAAAATTTTATTGATTATATGTTCTTAAACATGTGTTATAAAACACACAAGATTTCCGGACTGTTTCATTACAAGAAAAGTTTGGGAAATATTGTTTTAGGGTATTATATTTAAGATTTTCTTTTGTATTTATTTTTAAATAAATCAGCTTTCTTGACGTTATGCAGTGATGGGACTTCCTAAATTCTCGAACAGGGAATGCCGTGTTGTCGTGTGTATTTTAAATTATATTATTTAATTGGACATTTGATGTTTCTAGAGTGACAATGAAAAAAAAAGAACTATTTAATTAATGTATTTATTTGTTTTATATCATCATTACATTAATTCTGCAATACCATCAGTATTTTGGGAAAAAAAAGTAACGCCTTTCAACAAAACTATGGAAGTTAATAGCAGATGTTGCAAACATTTAACAAATTATTTTAAAGAATGTGTCCATATGAATGAGTCACACATAATTATTTCAACTTACGTTTTCTACTTTTTTAGTACAATGACGCATAGAATTGAAATTTAAACATTTTCAGAAGATAATTATATTAATTCTGAAAAGTATTTTCAATTTTCTTGATATACAATATAATTACAAGGATTGTCTATCTCCAATTATGAAGTATTATATTAGCTTATATAGGAAACGTCAAATAGAATACAAAAATCAGATAATAATGGTAAATTTTACTAAAATAGAGCAATACCTCACACAGTACTTGTAATCAGTTTCGCCTATGTGAAAATGAGAGACTTGACTGTTAACGGAAAAACGATCATAAAAAATACATCCATATAGTAAAATCTCGTTTCTCTACAAAATTTGAGAACAGAGCACAACTCAAAAGGGATTTGCACATGCTAAATACATGCTTTCATTGCAGTTATTATAACATATGATGTGAGAATATAAACAGATAAGATGATATAATTATGATAACAAAATATTACGTGCATAATTATATATTGGAAAAGCCGTCCTCATTAAATTAGATGAAAATATATCATTATAATAATGTAAATTGTCATTCTATAATGACTGAAACTGATAATATTCTACTTTAATCTTCTGCAATACCATCAGTATTTTGGAAAAAAAATGTATCACCTTTCAACATGTCAACTATCAACAAAAGTATGAAAGTTAATAGTAGATGTTCTAAACGTTTAACAAATTATTTTGAGGAATTTGTCCAAATAAATGAGTCGTCTCACACATAACTATATTAGTTTACATTCTCTACTTTCTTAGTAAAATGACATATAAATAATATTTAAACATTTTCAAATGATAATTATAGTAACTCTAAAAAGTTTTCTCAATTTTATTGAAATACAATATAATTGTTAAGAATATGAAGTATTATATTAGCTTAAATTGAAAACGTCAAATAGGACACAAAAATTAGTTTTCAATTTTATTGCTGCCCAGTACTTGTAATCAGTTTCACCTATTTGAAACCGGAAAAGACTTGACTGTTTAAAGAGAAAAATATCGATCATTTATGTATAAAATATAATTTTATATACTATTTTTTACATTTATTTCCATTTTGATTAATTAAAAGTTTGTTTGTGCGAGTACAACATTAGATGAAAGTACTTTTTTATCCTAAGTATAAAATATATAAATAAATACTTGATTTGCATATAAATAATTTTACAACTAATTTAATTTTTTTTTGTATCAATATCTTATAAAAATGAACCAATTAAAGAAATATAATAAATATACTCCTACATCTATACAGTGGAACGTCGTTTCTACACATCATAATATACACTGCACATCTCAATATGTTTCCGAAAAGAATTTTGGTTTTACAAAAATACATAATATAAACAAACTGCGTACAGCAATACCTCTCATAATTTCGTAATATCTATATTAAATTTCAGATTTAACAAAAATGAACTTAAAATTTGAAAGTAATATTTTTATGAGACATTTAAATACAAATTGTTTTAAATTATTTGTATTTAGTTAAATATTAAAATTGTATTTATTTTATAATGAATTTAAAAATAATGTGTAACTTATTCAGGTAACCAAAGGAAGCAGCGAAGGGAGAGGACGACGTTTACACGGGCCCAATTAGATGTCCTCGAAACACTCTTCGGCAAAACAAGATATCCGGACATATTCATGAGAGAAGAAGTCGCGCTCAAAATCAACCTGCCCGAATCCCGAGTTCAGGTAAATACATACTATAATTTCTTTTTTCTCTTCTCTTGCTAAAAGTTTCACATCAAAGTTATGTTACCTGTATATATTTAATCTTCATTATTAATTCCAAAATATGCCTTTAATTCTCTGTATTAATTACAAAGATTTCCCATCTAAATCTAGAAGTTAATCTCGAATTCCTAATATTCTAAATTAGTTCACTTCTGCATAAATTGATCATGTCTAAAGGGGTATTAGGTAAAAATCTGAGAGCATTACACGTGAAACAGTTGTTAAAAAGTTGTTCCGCACGAACTAACTTCGAGGAATGAAATCAACCCCGAAACAGCATAATGTTGCGTGAGGCTTTCCCTTTTCGATGCATTATTTTTCGTTCGTAGCGACAGTCATCAAAGTGAGAGTATTATTTAAAAATGTGGAAAATTAATTACAGCGAAAAGCTTTTATGCCGCGTGTTTCTTTCTCCTTTCTGCGCGATTGATGTGGAGGAAAGGGAGATTAGCGATGGAAAACGTTTCCCAAATTACATGTGGCTTTTCATTACGTAGCTCCACTCTCTGTTACTCCCTCTCGCTTTTACCGAATTCCCAGTTTCCATCATGGAAAGGCACAAGTGGTGGAAGCGTAGGAGGAGGAGGATAAAGCTCTCGCAATTGTTCTGCTCTTCTGAGACTCCTCCTCCTTCTCTACAGCTTCTCGCTGAAGGGGACGAGCGACTTTTCATCTGAAATTCTAGTTTTCTCCTTTAATTAATCTAATGCATCGCCCGTAAAGTTTTGAGCAGGGTGCAGAAAGGAATACTCCACTTTGACATCACCGCAAGCAACTCTAAAATTCAAAACTACTCGATTATATTGCATAATCTATTTTTGATGAATATATTTCAAACTTCATAACTCCAATTCAAACTAATGATCTATACATACAGTCTATAAATCGGACAGATTTGTAAACTTCTCTATAAAAGAATTACAAAAATTATAAAAAAATAGATTGTCATAAGAACTCAATGATACATAACATAAAAATAAGAGAAATAGATTATTATTATAAAAACTCAATGAAAATTGTTAACAAAGCTCTCTTCTCTCGCATTTCATACACGTACTTCGTATCACATAAGAAGTATAATATTATCAACTATTTATTTTCCATTTACTTCCTATCGTGATTTCAAGCTTGAAAAATATATTACCTAACATTAACGCGATGTAATATTATCCATGATTGGACTTTACTATGGCTTCTGAAATATCTAACAGGAAACATACATAATACGTTGTTCAAACGTATTTGATATGTTGTAAACGTCATTCGTATTAGTTTTCTTTTAGAATTTAATGATTACAATTACAAATTGAATGTTTTTATGCTTTACATAATTTTTTGGGAAAATACGCCAATTTTATATTGTCATTTGCTCTGTTCAAATCATATTGTATGTTGTGTTTTTTAATCAAAATATTATACGACCTTTAACTGAAATAAAATTGAAATATTTAAGTGACCTCATTCAAAATATACTAATAGCAAAAACTTATGAAATCCATGTCTGATGACAAAAAAATATAGCAAATTCATTAATTTATATGAGATTTCATCTTTCGATCTACGTTAACCATTTTTCTATTAATTTTGATGTCAATGGTTATTTTTTTATTATTAAATGTGGACATCAATGCAAAAAGAAAAATTTAGTAATTTAGGTGTGGAAACTCTGGAAGCAATTTAAACAGAAATTGTTTTTATTTTTCTTTAATATTAATTTCATTTTTTTTTCGCAAGTGTATAAAGAACTTGTATCAATTTTACTATATGTTCTAAACTTTTAACTGTTCATGTTGAAAGCACAATTCACTGAATAAAATAGATATTTACTTGAAAATTTGTAGAAACTTGCGAGTACATCCGTATGTAGTTGATAAATTTATGCTAGATTTGCAACGACCAGTTGGTAAGAATCAATGCATTGAAATAGTGATAAAACCCTACAAAACGAGTTGGACATTTAGTAATACCTTTATTATGTGTTTCTAACGTGTATTTTTTTAAAAGTCATGGAACACATAAATCTCATTAGATGTAAACTAAGAAATAGATAAATAAAATTTGAAACTATTTTATTATGTGATAGTGTTTAACTAATTTGGAAAAGGAAAAATAGGGATAATCAGATATTTGTCGCATTTGTAAATGTCGTAAAAGTATGTTCGACCTTCTTTAGGGCATTGTGCGGCTTGTAGCTTTCGGTTAATTTGTTTTGGACGTGCGCCAATAAAGGGGAGCAGAGCCAAAAGTGAGCAAGTTCACAATAATAAATCGGTCGGCGGTCCGCCCCTCGGAAATCAGAAAGCGATATATTATATGTACGCTACTAACTATACATCCGTTGTTCGGGACTCCCTTGTATTTCAATGGGAGAGCCGTTTAAGGCCCTCGGCGGTATGCGTGGGCACGTCACACCTCCGGCCCTTTGTGCCCTTAACTAAATATATACGCACACATAAAGAGACGGCGGCAGCAAAAAAACAGCAGAAGTCGTTGCGGGGGGTGGGTGTTTGCACGAACGTTACTGATTAAAGGTGGTTTTAATCGTCCTTCTTCTCGAGAATCATTTCACCATATTCTGCGGCTACGCGGAACCTCGGAGGTTTCAGTGTGCAGTATCAGTTTCCAACGTGCCGGGTCGCACACGACCAAAGCAACCCAACCCCCCTTTCGTCCTGCCAGGGGGTTGGAAATCGATAAATGGCCAGGACCTGGGGCTCCGTACACTCCACAAAGTGAATCCGCAAAAGTGCCGCTTCGTGTCATTGAATACTAGTAAGAACTAAAATAGATAGAACCTAAAGAAAAAAGTATCCCCAACGACAAATACTCGCATTCGGAATAGAATTTTCATTTCAGCTTTGTTTTGTTAGCAATAGTATTCCATACTATTATTGTTTTTTCTTCACACTTTAACAATATCGAAAATGTTAACGAATTTTTTCCTTGCATCTTTACTTATAAATTACGCCAAAAATGTAATGAAAAAGCTATTCAACCAAAATTCTATACAACCAAATTGATTGATTAACAATAGAGTTAGTATTGACATACTTGTACTGGAAATTGTTTATTATATATTTATTTTAAGTACAACCAAAATAGATTGGTTTTGGTGCAACGTTAACATTATATAGTTTTGAATTTTATCAATATTATCATTAGTTTATCCTTTACGTTTTTATACAAGTTGAAATAGCAAATATATATGTAATTCTGGTGTGTGAAATAAAATAATTTTGTGTTTCGTGTCTGCAATATTTAAAATATATCCGATCATATTGAAACGCAATTGAATTTTTTGCCTAACTGAAATCTATAACAATAGATTATTTTGCCCAATAACGGCAACGAATAAAGCGGAAATAGATATAGAGATGAACGCGATTTGTATGTATTATTAAAAGCAATTTCGGTGAAAATCAAAAAGAGCACAAATCGTCGCAACGTGCAATTGCATACCAACAAAAACTGCGAATCGAAATAACTGTAATATTTTTGCTTTTGATTGCTTTATACAAATTAATCTTTTGTTCTATCTGATTTAGGTGTGGTTCAAGAATAGACGGGCAAAGTGCAGACAACAACAGAAACAACATAACCAGCAGCAACAGCAGAACAGCGACAAGACGGCTCGCATCAAGACGAAGACCACGGCTTCTTTAATTACAAAAGTTTCACCGCCAGTTGCATCCAATAACAATAATACAAACACAAGGTAAACATCACTTATAAAATAATAATATTTAATGCAACAACCATAATACAAACTTAACAAAATAGCATAAGAAAAAAAACTAAATTAAATTATTGCAAAGTGCATATTCCATACACTACTGGATTTATTGGGTATTTTTGAAATCGTTTTTGATTTCTTTTTAGTTCAGTATATTGATTATTTCATTATTATTTTCATATGTTATTTTTAAATAAAATGTATTTACATAGTAGCAGTACATAATTTGGTATATATGGTTATAATTCCATTTTCAAATACAATTTGTTCATCCTATACCAAGCTTTAACGTTCAAAATTAATCTTTCGAGGGGATTTATAAGAATATAATATACCATACAAATATATAATATTTAATCTTCATTGAGCATATAAATAGTAATAATAGACATAGAACTATTATACATATATATAAATAATCTAACAAACTAAAACTACTTGACCGGATTTATTAAGCGATATTTCTAATACTTTCAATATTGTCAAAAATGTATATTTCTATTTTTATACTAATTTAAATTATCGTACTAAATATTTAAGAAATATCATGGACTAACACTTTCAATTATACCAATTTATATATCTACACTACATACATAGTCTAAAACAGTGGTCGATATAACATTGTTAGTTATCGATTCCTATATTATAAGAATCATAGTTTCAACTTGTCATACTTATTTTCAAAATTTATTGACAGACTGTACGTCAATAAAAGTTAACGTTTTCATGATTATTCAAAGTCAATACGAGATAAATGAAACATATTTTTTGCTTGTCCTAAGAATGTCGACGGTCGACTCTAATTAGTTCAAATAATCATGAATCTAAATGTTATCAATATTAAATGTTATTTTGAGATCTTTAAATTGGGAACTCATAGTTCCCGTAACTATCTTATCCTGTAAGCACAATATAAAAGTTTTACGATAAATATGGGGCCCACGATAAAAATAATGGAATTAGAATTCCGTCATTAAATTCTTAACTGGTTCCTACAGCGCCATTGAGGTGGGCCTTAAAGCGACCCTGTGTTACTGATCTTAGGAAAATAATGATATTACTTTCAAATACTCTTTATAATGTTCATCAACAAACAAATTGTAATATTTCTTAATAAAAGAAATAATTTAGTCTAAAGATGATATATTAAATGAACTTATTATTTGTTTATATTATATCCTATTATATTATAAAATTAATCACGTCAATGTTTTTTTTTTAAATATAATTTTCAGCTCATCTACTAGTTCACCTATAGTGCACACGACACCTCAAGTTAGAGATAGCCCGAACTACGTCAAACCAACGGTCTTGGCATCCAGCGGAAACACGAATTCACCACCGGTAAGTTAAATTCGAAGTTCCCTGTTGTATTATAATAGATTATTTCATTAACATATACTTGTTGTTGGTAGGTGGTGTCTTCAGCTTATTCGAATTCCGCTAACTCGAGCATCTGGTCTCCGGCGTCGATAGACAGTTTCTCTTTGGACCAACATAGGAGTTGGTGCGGAACCAGTCAGCCGACTGTCCTCAGCACCACCAGCTCAAGTACAAATTGCTATAACAACTACTCATACTACACGAATATGGATTACCTTAGTTCTAGTACAATGGGCCATACGCAATTCCCGGTAAGTCTATCTATTGCCTATCCTACGATGAAAACGGCTTTACTAACTAAATCTCTATGCTCAATTACAGGATAACAGTCTAGAATCGAGTTGGAGCAAGTCCAGAGAGGAGTCCTCGTGGTTCTACAACGCCAGCTGGGACCGCAAATGAAACCCCGTCGAAATTAATGAATCAAATAAGAATAATTAACTTAAATAATTAGCAACGAAAAATAAAATATATAAATATATAAAATAAACACACACACACTTTCAAGTTAAGTGTGTCGGTTTACAAGAAATTAATTGTTTTCGCCAGTACATCATTATGAATTTTAAATTCCGAAATATTTCAAATGAAAAATAAACTATTTCCACATATAAGTAATCTATTCGCAATACTAATAAGACTAAAGTACTTAAAAAAAAATAAACTTTTCTATTAAAGTTTTTTTTTCATTGAAGTGACTTAATGTTTGACTATTGCGTATGGATTCCATGTTTGTTCCAAAATATATATTGAATAACAACACAATCGAATTTATTAAATTTAGGTGGTCGATGCGCCTAGTCCTTTTTATCTCATATTACTATTGATTAGACGATATCTTTGTGCCAAAATTTATTTTTATTATTCCGACGTACGAAGAGACTACTGCAGAATCTATTATATCGATAACAAGTATAAAAATACGAATCGTTCATCAGAATTCCGAAGAAAATCTTTCTCCGTGGCGGTAATCAAGTATATATATATATATTGTATTTAATTAAGATTAAAAATATTATAAAAAACTGTACATATCCTTAGGTTTAGTCTCGTTGAACATAGATTATTGATTGATTATTCTCTTTGTGAATGTTGCGTTTCGTTTCGACGTTTAAATTTAAAAATGAACGGGGTCTTTAGCTTTCTTTGTCGAAAGTGAACTCACATTAAAACCACAGGGCCCACTGGTAACTTGTTTGATTGAAGGTAAAGAGGACGAATTTCGAGCTTCGTTTTGTTCTTTTTCATTTCTTAAGTTTGAACAGCTCGATTAAAAGGGAAATAATACGAGGCCAGTAGCAATACATTTTCTTGTTATTATCAAACTTGGTTTGTTTTTGCGATGACGAAAAATAAAAGAGTATATATAAATATATAAAATAAAATACCACCTGTTGAGTGATCGTTAGATATTATATTGTAATATTGATTAAAAGTAAAGAAGACTTAAAAAAGTAATGTAATTGAAATGAGAATTCCTATTTATAATTTTAAGGCCTAACGGAAAGGAAAACGAAAATTGAGGGAGAGGAATCATGTCTACGTTTTATGATTTTTTAGAATAAATAATTTCGAAATGACAGTTTCTTAGAAAAATGTTTGTAATACATTTCCCAAAAAATTTAATAAAACCAACATAAATGCCAAAAAGCTATACATAATTGATTTTGTCAATCCGTTATTTACATATGCACACCATACAACAAATACTCCACTAATCGTCTCTTGTCATTTTCGTTATTGGATAGAGTTGCCACCATTGTATCCCTTTCCTCAGCGTTCTCACTAGCGAATACATCCTTGATCCTCTCTAAATCAACCGTGAACTTCCTACAGATCATCTCTTTCAAAGGTATATCGTAATACAGAAGAACGCTATTGCGGAAAGTCACGTAAACGAAACATGTAACAGGTATTTCGCCGGCCACCAAATTATAGAAGCCCGTGTCAAACGCCTGCACGGATTCGCCCAACTGAAATTGTACTGAATGTTTTTCCTGGTCTAAAATATAAGTGTTTCCATCCCAGCTGCAGGCCACCAAATCATCAGTTCCGTCACCAGTGACATCGAGTTTGGTTAAGGCAAAGACCTGATGATCGACAGCGATTTCCCTGAAAAATTACATACATTAATTCTGTGATTTAATTAGCTTTCAATTTTCATATGAATGAGGCGACGTGGATACGTTGCATTACTAGAAACAAAAAAAACCCTCCGATTAAAATAATCTTGAATATGATATTAAATCATACAAGTACCTCAAACTTCAGTAAATAAAAGTATAAAATTTCCATATGTTCAATTTATTATGATTTCGCTGCCCTTTTGATCAGACATACCACTCCGTTCTGAAGATGTTGAATAACATCAACAATATTCTCCATCTTCAGAGCGGGGTGGGCTATCTAATCATATTGGTAGTGCTGTTGTGTCAACTTTCCCTTCCATATTATATTCTTAGACTATAGTCTAATCCTATATGCTTATTTTATTTCACAACTTGTTAAACACTACCGTATTCCAGTTAAGTCCGGAACCACAGTGCAGGCATGTTACATACTTTAAAGGCACAGCACATTAAAAATATTTAATAATTTCGTGCCATACAATCAAAGTATGCAAGTGTCTATAATCTGGTTCCGATTTAACCCTTTTCATTAGCTTATCCGTTTCGAATTACGGTAACATTATTCAAATAACGTTAAATCTCTAAAAGAATCAATCAGTATAATCATGGTAAACCCTCACATCTCGCATGCTCTCTCGAAGTTAGTACTTATTATACCGTTGATATTGTTAAATATAATTAAATTAAAAAATTACCACAAAATGATTTCATCCTGTACCAACATAATAGTACCATCAAGCGTAGCCACAGCATACGGAAACTCCTTGCAGTCCCCTTTCTTCGTCTTTAGATTGCCAACAATTTCAGTTGAAATATTGTGATTTCGCATTCTTGACAATCCCAAAAACTGATAATCAATGAAGGAACCGGTAAGATATTCGCTCTGTGAACTGAAATGAATATTCGTAAACGTAATATTCAATATTATTTAATAAGCCGTTATTACTTGCTGGAATCGCTCATCTCGCCATTATCATCGTGCTGGTACCGAATTCGCATAAAAGTTCCTCCAGGTTGCGCAATCAACAGCGACGGTCTGTTTTCGTTGTCGTGATGCAAGGTTACTGAACCTATCTGCTTGGCACATTCCCATTTGTTCAATCCAATTAATTTACCTAAAAACACCGATTTCATTAGTTGGAAATTTATATATATTGAAGTAACTCACAATCGGCTGTTCTGATCTTGGTGTTTGGTACATTGATGACCGCTTTGTTAGGATGGAACGGATCGAACCATCTGTAAGACCGAATCACTCGATCCGTCAGGCCCAAAACCATTTCGATGCACCCGTCACCATCGATGTCATCTAATAAAATATACTACAATGTTCAAAATTTAAATGTATATTCATGAAATGGATAATAAAGAATTTATTATACTTTAGTATTGGCGGGTATTCTTTGTACATGGACTCGCTGAAGATGCTTCTTATTGATGTTCCTGCGTCTGGAGGATTTGGCAGTTAAGGAATCACTCGTATAACTTTCGTAACTTTCCCCAGATAGTATTTGCCCATCGACCTTTAAACTCAGATAATTGAAATATCTAATTCAAATACTAACATTTAATACATACCGTATCTACACTTTCCGTGGTGTTCCTCGATTCAGGACTATCGTAAATGTGGCACCATCCATCTCCAGTAATTATGACTAAACTATTCCTATTTTGATTAAAAATATCACCGACGGCTAAACAGCATACAAAACCTAAATTGTTAATTGTTTGCCATTTTTCTTTGCCCTAAAAACAATTAAAAAAACATAATTATCTATATATAATAATTAAATTATAAATTACAGTTATAGAATTAATACACAACCGGATAAAATATAGGTGAATTTAAATACAAAGTTCTAGACAAAATCGAGCCATTAGTAAATTAATATTTCTCTAGCAAAGATTCATCATCACCAAGACAATTCGCTGATTAATATTTTCATTTATACCAGACGTATTCGTTCAAGTAATTCTTGGTGTTAATCGTGATCACGTTTTATCTCAATAACGAACAAGTTGTCCATCTCTAATCTAGGATTGAACTGAAAGATAGTTAACGACTATATATTGATTAATAAAATTATATTTATTGCAAAATATAAACATAACACAATAACATAGTAACAAAAATAAAACTCAATTAAACTACTGCAAAGGGCTATTGACCATAGGTCTTTCTGCCCGTATATTGATTATTATCAGTATATGCAGTTTAGTATTGTTTCATTAAGCTTGTTTGTATGAATTAGGTTCTATTAAACTCAGCATCCACCAGATCAGTCGACTTGCAGGTCACCAACATTTTAAGTGTCATTTCTTTGGAACATCAGATCTCTCAATGCACTTTTTCTTTTAATAAATAGTAAAAATATTTTCAATAATGTCAAAATAATAAAAAAATAATTGTATTTTTTAGAAATTTTCAGTTTGTTTCAAATTAATAATTAATATAATTATATATATGCTCTAAATACATACAAAAGGCTATTTTATAGCAACATTTGTATATTTAAGACAGATTTGTACACTATCTGTTTTTTTTTTGGTATTGGAGAGTAACACTCAGTGCCTATTAAACAATGATGAGATAGAAAATATATTAGATATAAAACTGATGAAAATGAAAGAAAAGAAAAATAAACAATGGAAAGACAATTTAATTAGGATTTCTTTGTTAGGTAATTGTTAGTTTAGGTGCAATGTTTTACATGCTATATACATATACAAAGGTTATTGTAATTAGATAGTTTTGCTCACTTTGAAAATAACCACTTCGCCCTTTTCATTTCCGACAATCAGCTCGTAATTTCCGTCATTGTCAACGTCCCTCAAAGTGATAGCATTTCGAAGAACGTTGCCACCGAAATCAAACTCAAGTCGGTTTACTAACGATATGGCACGCATGTTTACTGTACAGTGTTATTTAAAGGATGTCGACTCTCAGGGAGAAAGGACTTAATGTACTGCCACCTAGATGGAGGCCAAACAATGCAGGAGGCTTTAGCAGTGACGAGTCCAAGAGATACAGGTCCAAAGTTGTTAGAGTCCATGGAATGTCCAGTGTGATCTCCTTCAACCCAACAGTGGCCTTCTGGCACTCTAACAACTTCCCTTTTATACCCAAGTGTAGCTATAATATCACCTAAAAATAAAATTGTTTATATTAATCAACATATAATTAGTTAGAAATTACCTTCAATTCCAACAACCCTTTTAATTATTTTCTGCTCTGGATCTTTGGGCGAGACCATAGATATTATATCACCTCTCTCAATTTCAGTCCGTGTCTGTATAGCCCATCGATTCAGGAAGACATAGTCTGTGCTTTCCCTATCTGGGTTTAGGGCAGGTTGCATTGAGATGCCATCAACCCTGGCCACATACCCGACAGTATCTAATATAGTAACACCAACTGGAAGGCCCACTAGAAGACTTTTGACAAAATTTGGAATTTTCATTTGGTGGACGCCCCCCCACAGAACAAAGTTAAACTGGACACAAACACACCAACAATCAAATTTAAATGGACGATATTAAACTAACCTTACACATTTACGCAATTTTTTGTACTTTGACTTGCTATGACTTGACTTCAGTTCTACCAATATGAAAAGGATGTAACTTATTTATATGCAGAAATTATCTCTCATTACGAAACTTGATTCATTCAATCTAATGCATTGTAGGATGTTATTATGCACTTTATTTAATGATTATTGATAAATTACCCAATGAAAGTAGCTTTACATTCATGAATTATACAGGGTGTTGCCAAACAACATACTTATTTTAAGCCATTTGTTTGAAATTGACAAAAAAGGGAGTTAATATATAATATAATTAATATTTATGTTCAATTCAATATAAGTGTTCGAAGTAAATTTTTAACATTTCCAAAAATTTATTGACCCAGACAAAATCAATATCCATCTTCAATTTAATTTAGTTTTTTAGTAGACTAAAATAAATTAATTGATAATTACTACTGATAGTTGCAATAAACATGTATATTTATATAGGCGATTGATCGCAGCTAAGGGAGAAAAATTATAAATGTCTGATACGCAGATTTTTTTATAACTGCGGGTTTTTGGGAGGTGCTAGTCAAGGCATTTTACTCTTAATTGTGGGGTGTTATAGGACTGGTAATGGAATCCAGTAAGGGGGGCGTAAAATCAATGGTCAGAGCCGGCTGCTGTATTAGTAAACAAAATGGCTGGCGAGGAGAGGTCCAGGCAGGAATTCGCCTCAATTCTGGCCGGCATCAACCGCAAATTCGACATTATTCACGCGAAATGGCTGGACGAAAAGAATTTCGAGGCGAAATTTCGTTCGCAGATACCGCGCGACAACGAGGATTACAACGGTATGTGCGATCAATGGGTGGACCTCTTCTCCGACATCACCAGGACCACTTGGGTAAAGAAGATATCGAACACCGGCCCCAAAATTAAATTCCGAAAGCAGTACCAGTGCTGGACACACACTGGTAAAGTGCAAAAAGAATTACTCTTCGACGCCAGGAAATGCAGAGCAACCACCGACGTGAAAGTGCTCACAGATAATCCTCACACGAGGAGGAAGAACAAATACATCAAAGCAGGTCTTAACATAGTTGTAAAGGTAATCTCAAATTGAACTTACCCATAAAAAAAGTATAGTAATAAAATTTATGTTTCAGATAAATTTCACTCATCTCCATAATGCTGATATTAACAAACCATATTCCTTCTTCGTGCACATGTGTGAGCCTCAAGCAGAGCCTCTAAAACCAATAGTGCACTCAAATGAAAAACTGCCTAAAATGATAGCAGATATAGTGGAGAAAGGCAAGAAGGCTGTACCAGTACAGAAAGATACAGAGCATCAGCAGAATGAGGTGCAACCACCACAACAGATGGCCAACAACAATCAAATGATTCAAGTACAGAACCTCGATCAACTCAACATGATACAATTGAACCAAATGGTGCCATTGCCAGGCCTTGAAGCAATTAAATTGGAAGTTCAACCGCAGATTGCACAAGTCATGGTTAGCAGTTCACAAATTGATATGATTGAACCATTACTTGTCTGCCAACCCACTTTAATGTTTAACCAGACCCAAGTGATTCCAGTCTCCAGCAGCTCATATGTTCATGTCCCAAACCCACAGAATAATCCACAAAACTATTAACTTGAAAACAAACAAAAAAATATATAAATCAATGCAGATTCAGTGATAGAAGTTATAGCAAGAGCATTTGTAGATCAATCTGCATGTCAGTAAATCAAACATTCCTTGTATTAATAATAATATTAAGTTTTAGGTGTCAGGTTTTCTTTCAATTTATATTGCAAATGATTATCATGAAAAAATAATATTTTCAATTACGATATCTTATTAAGTATGTGGGAAACCTGCCACATAATGGCAACATTATAATTTACTTTTGCTTCTGAATCTCTGTTCTATTTACCAAAATTATTGTATATTTATTGTAAATATTTTTTTAGCAGCTCCAAGAATATATTTATAAAAACTTTATTCAGCAAGAAACTGTTCACTTAATACACCATTCAGTTTGTTATTATAAATGACAACTTCTGCAACCTTATCCAAATTCTCATTAATCTCATTTGCAGATTCCACCAATTTTTTAATTGGTGTCAACATCATCTCCATTTCCTCCTTTTCTTTTTGCAATAAAGCTATGAAATTCTTTTGCTGCAAACAATTAAATTAGTTATTTAGAAACAACATTAATTATTCAAATAAACCTGTAAATATTTCTTCTCCAAACTATCACATTCCACTTTTAATTCCTCGGTTTTGTTTTCAAATTTCTTGTAAACAGATAGTGAAACTGACTCTGGGATTTTAAAAAATTTCATGGCACTTGGCTGAATAATTTCCAATTAATCCATATTCTAAGTCATTGCAGTTATTTCACTTACATTCAATCTGTTGATACATTGCTGGGTGCTTTTGTCTAATAGCTGTTGTGCTTTTTTGAAAGTCTCTTTAATTTCATCACTTGCTTCCTCTCCTATACCCTCAATGGCGTTTTTCTCGTTCACATTTAACACATCTTCGTATATGCTTTGAATAGATTGCTGAACTGAAAAACAAAACATTAAAATGTTAAAAACATTTTCAAAATATACTTACGTTCTCGTGTAAACGACGTTGGAGTGCATCCATAATGTAGTGCAGAGTATTCAATATTCCTTAATTGTTCTTCGTTCATTTTTCTTTCTTTTTTATATTACGATATCCTTTAATATCATGAAATGAAATATCCGACAAACCTTATTTACAAACATCTGAATCAAAAACAAAATAATCTAGCAACCAAACGGGCTTGTTCATGAAACCGTTAATTTCTAACCGAAAAATAATGTACACTTGGTTGCCTGGATTCAAGATTTAAAATTAATTTATTTATAACATTGTTTTAAATAGTAGTGGCATATATTTGATATTGTACAACTAAAGTGAATAAATATGTGTTGCGCATAATATTGTATATAGTTTTAATCAGTGGCAGATCATCCATAGCCGGTCGACCACGAAGCCAATTTTGGACGATTAAATAATTATGTTCTTTTTTTTTACTACGCCTATGACAACTCGATCGTGACACATTTTTAAGATAAAAAGTAGTAGCTGTCAAAGTCCCACTGCCTACCTCCATCCCTCTTTTGGTGGCATCAGGGAATCGTGACGTGTATTTGGCCCTCTCGGTATTTTCAAGAATGTCCAACATTTTGATCTAACGTTTGCTCTGCATAATTGGTTGTAAGACTTCTCTCCGACTCTGTCTGTCTGGTTGCAGTCCTATCTACAAGCACAGGGTGGGTCTATATCGCAAGCCCGACAACCGAAATCCCGATGTTCGAAATCCCGACGTTCAAAATCCCGAGTGTATCGAAATCCCAACTACCATAATCCCGACAAACAATATCCCGGCTGTATCGACACGAATCTGAAAATTGTGCTCGCTTAATGAGTTTAATTACATAATATGTCTACAAGTACAAATTTGAACAAACTGATGGAACAGGCGCGCAATCCGGGACTTCTCTTCTCATCGTAACTCGTTAAGCGAATCATTTTTCTTACAATTAATTTTGTTGTTAAGCGAAATGCTCGTTGTGCGAGGTGCTCGTTAAGCGAAGTTCCACTGTATATTCAAATTACTGCAAAGGCGTAACTTATATTTATAACTATAACTAGCCCAATAATAATAATAGTTTTAAAAATATGAAAATCTTGAAAATTCAAAAGTGTCAAAGATATTTGAAATAGACTGCAAGTATAAAGTGTATGTAGAAGATATAAAAATATAAAAGTAAAATCGTTAAATTATCACGTTTTTGGTCTGTGGGTGTTTTGTTAAAGGGTGTTCCATTAAGGTGTGAACGATTTTTTAAATAAAATAATACGGAATAATATCGCAAGCTTTTTTTGTGTAACATGTATTTTTTGTGATATAATTCATCACTCAAATTGTCGCCTTGGCGTATTGAAGGTGTCGTGAGCCCTAAATACCAGTTGAATAAATTGAGGCGAGTCAGAACAAACCCTAACATTCTGTAGCCATTTGATTGGACAGAGGAGCTCCTACAGACCGCCTCTGATCTCTAGTTTTTTTTTTCATGAAATTACCACAACAAAATGTCCCAAGTCCAATTTTCATGAATATATAATTTCACAGAATGTAATAAGAAATGATACCGAGACTTATATTATTAAAAGACTATACCAACTAGTAGACTTTCTCTAATAGTAATCCAGGACATTTCATATTTGATCCATAACTTTAGCATCTACTTGTACTTAATAATTGTAATTTAAACAAAAACTATGTTTTTTTGTAAATATTATTTTAAAAATCTATTTTCAATACGTTTTTGTTTAATGAAAGAAAGAATGCTGTATTTTAAGAGTCTTTTTGTTGATTGATGTTGTTATTTTGTCAAGTCAATGCACTCTCTGGGGACAAAAATTAAGTTGGTTTTGACTCCTGGCCCAACTTATTCTATTGTCACTAACCGCTGTATTATAAATCATCAATGTCATGATACAAAAATATATGGTATAATCACTCAACGACTAACACTTTTTGAATGAGATCATACTATACATTTTAATTATCACCATTATACATTGGTTATTCAACACTTATATGATGAACATAAATTATATTTTTTGGTGTGTCCCCAAAATGCGTGTCATCCAAAATTACCCAGATTTTCTTAAACTGATAAACGGTAAATATTTTGATGAAAAACCGGATAAGCGGTAAATTACCAATATTTTTTTAATTGAAATTTTTGAATAACTACTATTTATTACCAAACTAAATTTGTATAATATGTGCTAATGCGTAATCAACAATTGCTTATTAAACATTAATAAATGTATAATACATTAACAAAAAACAATAAACATATACATTATTTCACCCGAAACTGACAGATCCGCAACAGTCTCGTTGCGGTTTATCTTCTAAATCAGCGTTTCTCAAACTTTTTGGTCCACAAACTTTTGCACTTCGACAAAATTCGACCCCTTGAAGATTGGATATTTGTAGAAAAACATACCAGATTGATCTCTCAACAATTTTTCTGCGACCACCAAATATTGAGAATCCACTTTTGACACTGCGTTTATTCAAAATAATTTCTTCTGCATATATTAGGATATATTTTATCATATAGGAACATTTTTCGTCTATGTTATTTATGTTTCTAATAAAATTAATTTTGATTGGAATACATTTCTTTCTTCACAATTACATTACATTATTTTAGGAAAGCGCGACAAAATGTTACGGATTGACGACTATCTTCAACAAAATAATATTATTGCATTACAATTTACTCTAATTGCATTAATTTTGAATTTTCCTCTGTTTCTGAACAGAATTTTGGTTCCCCAAAGATAAACAGGAAACAAGGTATAGATATGTTTGGTTGGAGGGTGTAAGTTACACCCATTCTTTTCTCTTTTTTATTCAAACGATAAAGTCTCCGCCCTACACCTTATGGACAAAATAGTTTCGGTTTTCGAACTATATTTATGTTCAATAAACGAGGTTTTATTATATTTATATATTATAAATGAATATGTTTTTAATTTGTGCTAATGTTACGATCAGTAGTTACAAATCAGTAGTTTTGAATTGAAAGTGGAATTAGGATATTCTTAATTCGTAAAGAAATGATTGAATGTTGATAAGAGTTATATTTATTTTGAATTTCAATAAAAATAAATCATATCATTTGTATGAAAATCTCGGTTTGCAAACACTAATTTGGTTCCCGTCAGTCAAAGTGGAAACCAAGGACGTGATCACAATTCCTTTTAAATTTAAGTTATCGACTCTTCTCTATATATTTTTTTTATTATTTAAATGATATATATATAAATATACATTTTATTCATAAATTACTGTTATCATTTTTTAAATGATTAATAATTTAAGCTTTCAAAACCGATTATACCCTTTTACCATTGTACCTATGGGCCAAATAATTTCAGATTTTGAAATGCCTTTAGGAACGAATTATATTAGACAAGCGATGTTTCATCATATTTACAATTTGAATGGATACTCTATAAATTTGTGCACGTATTATATTTAGTTGTTTTTAAGAAGATTTACGAAATAAATTATTGATTGATTGAAAATAGAATTAAAGTACTCTCAATTTGTAAAAACATTCTTGAATGCTTGTAATTGTTAGATTAATTTTGAATTTTAATAAAAATATATGCTGTAATTTATGCAGATGCCTCGGTTTCCGAATAAAATTTTTATTTCCCTCAGACAAACTGGAAAACAAGTTTATATCATCATCATCACCATTCCTCTTCTATTAACGCCGTGGACTCTTGATTATGTAATTTAATTAATTTTATATATAATTTTATAATTGATCATGTAGAATAATTAATAGTTATTTAATTATTTCACGTATTTCTACACCCAAGTATTTATTAGTTATTAATCTGGTTAAAAAAAATCATATGATTAATTCATTTTATCTTACCAAATTTAATATTTAATACATATCTTTTAATTTTATAGAACATTTTTCATCAAATCGTAGGGTGTTTCACACCTGCAACGTTGGTACAAAGTCCATTATTGATCCCGAGCGCGACAAAATAATAATAAAAATTAGAATGCTATTGGATCAGTCCATTTGGTAAACATGTTCCTACGTGTACAATAATGATAATAATTCATTACTTTTATTCATGCATCAGTAATATCAGCAGTAAAGGTCAGTTTATAATGCAGTGTTATTCAACATTATTTACATCACGGCACACTTAAACTTTCGCGGTACACTTAAATTATGATATTATTTTAATTTTGATACGTACACAATAAGTGCTTTGGATTTCTTTAAATAATATCAATATTACGTTATAAAACTAAATTACTATTAATTCGCATTTCTTTGTGCAAACCGATATCGATATCATGACTAACATGTAGGTGTTGGCTGTAATAAGTAATGCACGTGCAACAATACTTCCTCAATGTTGTCAGATAAGTTGTTAACATTAGATGAGCAACTATGCCAACAAATAAATTTACTTGAATTCGACTCCGAAAAAGTCGAATATGTGTACAATCCTTTGGAATACGCCTACAATGGATACTCTCAATTCGTAAAAAAGTACTTGGACACTAGTAAGCATATTCTATTTGTGGGAATGAACCCTGGTCCATACGGAATGTGCCAAACAGGAATTCCTTTTGGAGATGTGAATACAGTTCAAAATTGGTTTGAAATAAATGTGGAAGTTAACAGACCTAGAAGAGAATGTCCTGAGAGACCAGTGTTGGGTTTGGAGTGCAAAAGAGTAGAGCAAAGTGGGAAACGTTTGTGGGAATATTTCAGAAAAAAATGCGGTCTTCCCGAACATTTCTTTCGTAACGCTTTTATATTAAACTACTGCCCACTAGGATTTTTTGATGCAAATGGAAAAAATATAACTCCAAATAACTTGAAGGTATTTATATCTAATTTATTGAAAATATAATAATTATTTGAATCTGTTTAAGGTTGCAAATAAAAGGAAAATTCAACAAATTTGCGATCAATATATGCTACATGTTCTTCAATTACTCGAGTGTAAAATTGTTGTTGGTATTGGTCGTTATGCCCAGGAACGAATGGACAATATTTTAAAAACATCGAATCTTGATGTGCAACTACTTTATATGAAACATCCAAGTCCTCTTGCGGGAACTACAGACCAATGGATAGAAGACACAAATAAATTAATACAGGAAAACAATTTAAATTCATATTTTATAAACAAACATGTTTAAGTAATTTGTGTGCAATTCTTATGGAACTATGTTTGGTTGCCTATCGTAAAATATTATTTTCATGGGGTAAAGATTGCAATTAATGCCCTCTAATGTATTTAGGAATTATTTTTATGGATGTAATAAATTTTATTTATAAATTGTGATTTTTTCTTATAGGTAATTCTTTTCTCTAATAACATAAGATAAATTGCGGGAACCCTCGTATAACGCGGTCACATACAATTTTAACACGGTCGGATATTTACGGTAACTCTCGTATAACACTTAAAAATATTTATATAGTTATCTAAATTACACACTTTTGTTTTTCTTGAATCTAGATCTATTTGCTGAAAGAAGCGGAGAAATCAAATGGGAGTTACAAACTTGTTTATATGCATACCATAAGATCTACAACAAGATCTTTTGTATGCACTTAATATAAAAATAAAATTTTAATCTTGGATATTTTGTGATTTTTGGTGTGAAGCATAATGTACACACAAAACTCAAAGTATTTTTTCAAATTCCATTAACATGTAGTTCTATATTGATTGAATACATGTCATAATAACAATAATATATTTTTGTCGTTTCACAGTTCGTGTAGCAAGTCATATACAATTTTATTAAGATTTTATGAAAATATTCTTTCCTCAAGTATGTTCATAAGTTCCAACAATTCTTTAAGCTCTATTTTGTTAAGGGACAGATTAATTTCATCTATAGATATTGATAATATTTTAAAAGTTTTATTTTGCAATGTAATATTGGATTGTTTTATTATTGAATGGAAATGTTTATTTATTTTACGTGACTATTTAATCATTTTAAACAGAATATTCTATTATATAACTATATCTCATAAGGGAAAACAGTTTCAGTTTTCGAATTGCCTTTAGGAATTCCACAATATATTCAATTATTATAAATATTGTATAACATACAAGTACATAAATAGTTATTGGTAAGGACAGCACAACTATAAAGGCATTAGATTTTTATGTGTAACTAAACAAGCACACTAATTGTATTGGGTTTTCCGAAATTTTTGGTACCTGACCTCACATGTGTCTATTGTTTCTGCCACTTGTAACGCTTAAGGAACATCAAGTGATTAATTAATTTCATGTTCAATATTTAATTTAGACATTTAGCATTTTATACACATTTTTAATTAAAAAAACATATTTCAAAAAATTATGTGGTGTTTCAAAACTGTTAATTCCGAACGCAACAAAATAATAATAAAAAAAAATAGAATGTTATTGAATCAGTCCATTTTTTTTATTTATTCATTTACATCTCAGATTCTTTTTATACAAAACTAATTTACGATCAATTAACATAGTTTTATAAATAAATAAAATATTGAAAAGATATTTAATTATATTTTTCTTCTGAATGTTAACTCTGTAACCTTTTTAATTAAAGGTTAAAAAAGCCGAATGCGATAAGAAAATTGCATTGACTAATAAATAGGCGTTGGCTGCAATAAGCGATGTACACGCAATAACGAAACAGCAGTTCCACGATGTTTTCCGATCAGTTATTAGCATTAGATCAGCAACTATGTCAACAAATAAATTTACTTCAATTCGACTCCGAAAAAATCGAATATGTGTACAATCCTCTAGAATACGCCTATAATGGATACTCCCAATTCGTACGCAAATACTTGGATGATGGTAAGCATATACTGTTTGTTGGAATGAATCCTGGGCCATACGGTATGTGCCAAACGGGAATTCCTTTTGGAGATGTGAATACTGTTCAGAATTGGTTTGAAATTAATGTGGAAGTTAATACACCTAGAAGAGAATGTCCTGTAAAACCAGTGTTGGGTCTGGAGTGTAATAGAGTAGAGCAAAGTGGAAAACGTTTTTGGGAATATTTCAGAAATAAATGCGGTCTTCCCGAACATTTTTTCCGTAACGCTTTTATATTAAACTACTGTCCGCTAGGATTTTTTGGTGCAAATGGAAAAAATATAACTCCAAATCAGTTGAAGGTACTTATATCTAGATTTTGAAAGAATAATGACTATTTCAATATGTTTAAGGTTTCAAATAAAAGAAAAATACAACAAGTTTGCGACCAGTATATTCTTGATGTTCTACAACTGCTCAATTGTAAAATTGTTATTGGCATTGGCCGTTACGCCCAGGAACGAATGGACAATATTATAAACTCATTGAATCTTGATGTGCAAGTACTTTATATGAAACATCCCAGTCCTCTTGCAGGAACTGCAGGCCAGTGGATAGAAGACACAAATATGTTTATGCAGATAAACAATTTAAATTCATATTTTGTAGATAATCATGTTTAATTAATTTATGTTCAATTCTTATAAAACCATGTTTCAATGCGATTCAATGCCATTTAATTTTTTTTTTATTTTTTTTTTAATAAATTTAACTTCTTAATTGTTATTTTTCTGTACTTATGAAATTCTGTTCTACCCATTCTAATTCACGATATGTTTTTGTAAACTATTTTATATGCACATATTAATAATAAAGTATGTAGTTAAATAAATTTAGTTTGTTAATCAAAAGTTCGTTGGCAAAGATAAACATACTTTATTATTAATAGATCAGTTTTAATTAAAACAATCCAGTATTTGTATATAAAATCGGGTAGAAATAATTGATTAAATATAGTATAATACAAAGATTTAAATGAGTATAGCTGTGATATACAACAAGCCTATATTATCAAACCTTAGAGAAACGATTTTATGATTAGTTGAGTAAAGTTAGTAATTTGATGAAAGTTGTTTCAGAAGTTTTACATCCAATTTAAGCACTTTAAATTTAAAGTAATAAGGAAAGAGGAAGGCATTAATTTGTACTAATAAAAGTAAGTTCGTAATTGAAGATTTCGAAGAAAAAATTAACATTTTACAAATATTTATGAAAACATTTTCTACTTTTCAAAGTAGAAAATAGATACTACAATTCTAAAATTGAAATTTTGGGCAGATTGTAAAAATACAGAATGTTTTCTTAATTTACACAATATTTGGTAATCAGAGTATGAATGAATATACCTAGATTACTTAACGATCTGTAAAATGCTTAAAGTAGTTTGTATCAACATATAACTATTAAAATATTTTTCTCTGTATGCAGGAATAATGACTTTACTTTGGTTGAAGGTCGAATCTTTCAAGAATAATATATTTTAAGACCTCATCATCAAGACATGCCGTCATCATCTGTGTATATATGAACAATATTTCCCTCGTCATAATAAGGTAATACCAGCAGAAATGAATATATTTTGGGGCAATTGGTAAAAATATTCTGGAATTTAGATGGTTCAAGGCTTTGAAAATTTGGACGAAATGGATGATTGAATTTTATTGAGTGCAGAAAAAATGGTTTTGAGTAGAAGATTGTTAGTAATGAAAAAAAAATCTATTGAAGACAAATTATCAAACAAACATTTAAAAAGGTTCTTAAATTAAGTTTTTGAAAGTTTAATGATACCGATTTAGGAAGAGAAGTTATTGTTAAGCTACAAAATTATATGTAAGTCTGAGAAATATTGAAGTATTAGAAATTGTAGCAAATATATCTATTCTTCTATTAAATCACTGTATTTATGTGATTTTCACATTATGCTTGCTTAGTCACATACTTCATTATGTCGCCGTCACTTTTTAAGTTGAAAAGAACGAAATATGGTATTAAAAGTTATGTATTGTATATGATGATTATTTAATGGACTCAATTACCCTTGTGTATGTATTTTTTATTTATGAAATAATACTTATTTATTATTATCTTCATGTATAATATAAGATGAAAAGAAAATTAGAAAATATTAATTGAATTTATTGAATTGTGTACAATTAATTAAGCAATATTTACAATTAAAGGAGTAACAAATTAGTTTAATTTAAAGTGTAGAGCGTTTGTGTCGGTGCATGTTAATTGAGTTGCCTATGTAAACTAGCTGCAAAATAATTGCGAAATTAGTTTGGTTGGAATGATAATTAACATGAGGATAAATCACGAATAATTAACAATAATTAGTTTTAATAAATCATTGCGGATGTGCTTGATGAATTAAATATAATGTTTGTCGAATGAATGAATGAACGGACGGATTATGCAATTCGAAGAGAGAATTAATGCTTTTCACGTTTACCTGAATTTATTATGATCTTAATGAATGCAGACGGGAGAGTGTTTTCAGGGTCTCTTGGATATGTGAAAGATTTTGGGATCAGATTAGATGGCTGCTCTTGTACATTTCCAAGAGTAAGAGCAGACAACGGACTCCCACGTGAATCGTGGTTACCCAAGAAAACGGACCGACAACAATTAGACTACATTACAATCTCTCAAAAATATGTTTGATTTTATTATTGTTATTTTGTAGTGGTTGTTGTTTTCTGCGTGGATCCTTGAACCTTTCAACCCACATTTACAATCATGTCACAATACTGCTTCTGATTTCAAAAGTTCGTTTGATCCCATTTTCTGATATTGCCTATTCTTGTATAAGAGTATTTTTTGTGTTACGTTTTTGTAAAATAAAACATAATTTAGTGGTTGTTTTAGAGTCGTAACTCTGCTAACGTTACCTCTGAACAATTGATCTATAGAATCATTATATTAGGCAACTTAACTTAACATGTTCTTTTAATCTACCGTATTAAAAAAGCAATTGAAAATAATGATAGTTCTTCGAAAAAAGTTGCTTAAAAATGTGCAAATTGTGTTTGGTGTAAAATATGGTTTACAAAAAATTAATAGTGTGAAAAGGATCCTGATTTAGGAATTAGTTAATATTATTACGGAGTTAGGAATTATTAATGTTACGGGATTAATGTTAAATGTAATAACTCCGTATTGACAATTATTAAATGAAAGAGAAAAAAGTACAAATAATCAACTTTAGGCTTTTAACCTGAGATTTCATAGTTAACTGTTAACTTTACAAACTATTTTTATTGGGTTATCCGGAAATTTCGTGCTTTCTTCTTCTTTCACGCAAACATTACATCCTCCCAGGATTTATTATGTTTTTCGTCAAAAAGAACTTCTTCAGATGCTTTTTTATTGCGGATTTTTGCAAAGACACAAATTTATGGAAATCAGAATGTATCTGATGAATACTACGAGTGGACAATTACAATTCTGTCCGATTCAAAAAAAATTGTTGAGAAGTAAAAGAAATATAGGTGCTGATATTTTCGGGATTTTTGTTTGTTAAATTGTGCAAAACTCATATATCTTAACGCTTTATGTAAGCAAGCTTCTAATACGTTCGATTTTGATATTTTTAATACCTTTGCTCATTGACGTGTCGTGTAGTGCGGGTTGATCAATGTCTTGATTTCATCATTATTACTAGCAGAACTTTAAGGCTAAAATCATCAGCTCTAAATTTAGAGAATTGTATTCCTACAGTTCATTTAGCTAAAGCAGAATATATATTAGTTATTGCTTTTGTGGCATTCCAGTCGGAATTTCGTGGAACGTATCCTATTCGTTAATCGAGGAATAGACTGTATATGGATGTGACATGTTTTTTTACTGGTAATTATATATAGTTGCGTGCATTAGTTTCAATTAAAATAGGTAATTGCATGTTTCCTCTATTATCTCATAAGATAAATACCATGCGGTTACATAATTTGCGATGAAAACAAGAAGTCCCTTGATGACATGCAAACATGCACGTAAATATATTATATACAATATGAACGTAATACGGAATGTCTCGGATGCCGAAATCTCAATATCCTGATCCGACTTTCTACAGCCACAAGAAGCGAAGAAGCAAAACGAAAACAAACACAAAATGGGCATATTTGTAACTGGAATACAAATACGTCGTGGAATGCATGCGAAATATGTACATGTAATAACATAATATTGTATCCGTATCCGTTCTTGACGGAAAGAAAGTGCGACTTCCCATTTTCCAGTTGGCACTGTGCATCCTGGATGAAAATGATGGAGGATCAAAAGATTGGCTTGTTAATTGGTGCAGTCGACAAAGTACACACTAAATAATTTAAACGATTACATTTGAGAGTGGCTCACGAATTCCAATCGAAGTTTCTATTTGGGCAACGATTCATTACACAATTACAACAAAAACGATCCAGTTCATTAAGTTCGCCTCCCGTTCCAGTGAAAGAGATGGAGGACGAAAAGAATGGACCAGAATGGAACGGAGAAGCGAGAACGAGAGAGGAATTCAAACAAAACGAAACGTCAATTAAATTTAATCGGCAACAGTAAGAATTTTCGATCGAAATAAAACATAAAAAATATTATATATATATAAATGTGCTTTTTGCTTCGTTAACGTAATTAAAAGGTTAATTTTATCTTCCGAAAAGTTCCGTTCCAATTGCTCAGAGTTTTATAAATCTTGTGAGAACAATTAAAAATATTATATTTTATTCTGACATCGTTAATAAAATGAAAATCGTGAATTGGTTAACAGAGCTGACCAACGCGTCGTTTGCGATAAAGCGACGTTTGATCAATTTTGCGCAGTTGAATAATCTGCTTATTTAGAATATGACAATTGTAAAACGAGACAAGATAAGGTATATTGTCGCATATTGTACATCAATACCTCGCATAATCCGCCTTCGGTCAGTCCGGATTGGAAATATTAAGAGAAACAAAATTTTAGTTCAAGGAAATAAAAA